ATGGTGTTACGGTATTGATTATTTGAAGAAAAGTAGGAAAACCCGGATCAAAAATTTTGGGAGAGTCAAACGTGTGATAAAACGCTTCCAGGTCATCGGTTTAACAGTCCACATCGACATTTCGTTACTCCAGTAACATTAGTAACCAATTGTTAGTTTTGAAACTTTAATAAAAAAAAGAACTTGTTTAAATATTAGTGACCATATACAGGTAAAAAATTATGATGTACAAACAGAGGTGGGGGGTAAAAGAAGACCGTAGAAATGGAATGAAAAGCGGAATTGGAAAACCAAAGGGCTCAAAAAGGAAAGGCTGAGCAGATGTTTGGACCGGCACTTAACATGTATTGTTTACAAGTGTCTATCTCTCCCTTTTCCTTCCCCGAAAACATTGTTCACCACTCATCCTCCTCTTTCCTCTCTCTCCATGGGTTGAAGAAGCACAACCTCCCGCCTCGATTGCCCCGGCTTTTCCAAATTTATGGAGTGGGATAGTAATTCCGATCTCAGTGGGGACGAAGACGAGGGTTTCCTTCTCAACTATGGCGGCCCTGTTCCTTTCCCCATTCCTGACTCCCTTCAGACGGTTCCCTGCGGATTTGTCGTCACCGATGTTCTCGACTCCGACCATCCCATCATTTATGTCAATACCGTCTTTGAGATGGTAACCGGCTATCGCGCCGAGGAAGTTCTTGGCCGCAACTGGTCAGTCAGTCCCTTTAACATTTTCTCCTTTTATATATATATATATATATATATATATATATATATATATATATATATTTGTTCAGAATTATCTTTGAATTTTGTTTTGTGCTTCTTTTCGGGCAGTGTTTAAATTGAGTGCAGATACGATATTGCATTGCTTTTTTGGGCAGTATTTCCTTTTTTGGTGGGGGTGTAGGGGTATTGTGTTTATGGCTAAAGATTGTTCAAAGTATTACAAGATAGAAAGTACTTAAATTTTTATATATAGTTTGTTCTACAGAGAAACCCAAAATTTTTATATATAGAAAGTATTCCCTTTTGAAGTTTTTAAATAAAAGTTTTGTTATATGCTCCCCTCGTTAATGTTTCAGGCAGCGTAACATGCCTATCATATGAAATATGTCCATAGCCCCTTATTGTCTATCTGGAACCAACTTAAAATTAAGTTTGGTATGATATTGGTTTCCTTAGTGGGGGAATGTGTTACTAGTTATACCTTAACTACAAAGTAACTAAGGGAAGTGTTGGTGTGAATTATGAGAAAGAGAACCTTCAATATGATGCTTCATTGTTGGTATTGAACTAGTTTATACCTTCGGAAGTTTGATATCATTTTGGTGGCATATCACTGAATTAACTACCTTATTGTCTATGTATTCGTTTCTCACTTCGTCTTGGTTCCTGTAGCCTGTAGATTTTCAATACTTCAAAAACATCCTGCATGTAGACAGTAAAGGCTCCTGCCCTAGGGGCATCTTTTGTATTTATATGATACTTCCTGTTAGTTTCTAAAGAAGATAGCCCCGTGATGTTCTGGTATAATAATGGAGTTTCTTGATTCAAACAATCCTTATTTTAAGTTGGAGACTGAATCATACCTAAAAAGAGTTAAATTTTATGTCATTGTTGAAGTGTTTCCGATGATATCAGTGAACTAAATTTCATTTAAAAGTTACTAAAGAAAAGATATTTTGCTTTATTTGACAGGGCTTCTTCCCATACCTTTGAGTTCCATTGGATTCAGAAACAATATGTGTTTAGTACAGTGACGACACAAACAAATGTTTCTATGCTATGCTCTTTTTTATCTGGAAAAGGAGATGATATCTCCCAATATTTCATGAGTGCTCTCTATGTCACCAACGAATTAGCAATCTTAGTATTCCTTTTGAATGCTACTCCAGCACAGTTTGTTGGCCTATTGTGGTCAGAAATTTAGATAAGATGTTTGGGAACTTGTAGTAATCATTAATGCTCTATTTTTTTCATTTCAACATCTATAGGATTTAGATGTGAAGCTTCTCCGAAGGGAGACATGGGCAAAATCTGTTGGTGGGACCTCATTCTAACTGATTTCTATAACTTAATATATAGAGTTGAATAGTCGATGCAGTACATCGGAGGAAATTAATTTTTTCAGATGAAAATATGGTGGTAGAATCAGACGAGACTCAATTTTGTCCTTGCTTCGGGAGTATTGTCGCTGTGGAAAAACACTTTTTCACAAGTTGCTTCAGAACATTTTCAGTGAACTAGATTTCTGCAACTTTTGCCTTTTGCTTTCGGACTATAAAGAGAAATAGTTTGGAGTTGATATTTGAAGGCTTGGAATTAGAGTATTTATTATTTTACCATATGATTGAATCTTTTCCGGCAAACTTGTCACTGGCAGGGCGGTGAGGATGGATGAGATTATTATTTTATTGATTTTTTAAGATTTTCTGGTGTGATGGTATAGGATTTCATTCAAGGAAAACTAGAAACAGGCAGGTCATAATTTAGTGAGGAAAGTGCGAAACTATTTTGTGGTACAAGCATGATCATAAAAAAGAAGGTTGACAAGTAGGAAGAGAGACAGGGAGACTAGTAGAATATAAGCATTCAGATATTTTTATTTGCAATCTTTGTTGCTGCAAGACTCTAGAATAAATATAAAAGCATATTAATGACTTCTAACAAAATTATGGACAATACTGGACTCAACTCATTTTGAGAACACTTGTGATTAAGCTTAAAAAAATGTGCTTAGAGAAATTACAATTACTACTAGTCTTGTGATTAGTTACTGATTGTTGTAAGTTGTTCTGCTTTGCTCTGATATTTTTAGTGTTATTTTTTTCAGCCGTTTTTTGCAATGTAGAGGACCATTCGCAAAAAGAAGACACCCGTCGGTGGATTCCACAGTTGTTTCTGAAATACGAAGATGCCTTGAGGAGGGAATTGAATTCCAAGGCGATTTGTTGAATTTCAGAAAGGATGGGTCTCCTTTGATGAACAGACTGCGTCTTACACCTATATATGGAGATGATGTGGCAATCACTCATGTTATTGGAATCCAATTCTTCAAAGAGGCAAATATTGATCTCGGTCCAGTGTCAGGATATTCAGTAAAGGAGTCTTTGAAGTCATCTGATCATCCTCGTACTGGAATTTCAGCTTTTTGTCCTGTTGTAGTTGGGGACCGAAATGTCTCTTGTGGGTTTTGTGGGATATTGCAATTGAGAGATGAGGTACTGTCTCTCAAGGTACTTTCACGACTGACACCAAGAGATATTGCATCCGTCAGTTCTGTCTGTAGGCGACTTTATGGGCTGACAAAAAATGAGGATCTTTGGAGGATGGTCTGTCAAAATGCATGGGGTTGTGAGACTACTCGTGTTTTAGAGACGGTTCCTGGTGCAAAGAGACTTGGCTGGGTAAGGCTGGCGAGAGAATTGACCACTCTTGAAGCAGCTGCATGGAGGAAACTTACTATTGGAGGTGCTGTCGAACCTTCCCGGTGCAACTTTAGTGCTTGTGCTGTTGGCAATCGTGTCGTACTTTTTGGTGGTGAAGGGGTAAACATGCAACCGATGAATGACACCTTTGTATTGGATCTAAATTCCAGCAAACCTGAGTGGCAACATGTCCAGGTGAGTTCTCCTCCCCCTGGTCGTTGGGGACATACACTATCTTGTGTAAATGGATCTAATCTGGTGGTATTTGGAGGCTGTGGAAGGCAGGGCCTGCTCAATGATGTTTTTGTGCTAGATTTGGATGCAAAGCCTCCATCCTGGCGAGAGATCTCAGGATTGGCTCCTCCGCTTCCTAGATCATGGCACAGCTCCTGCACTCTTGATGGGACCAAGCTGATTGTTTCTGGTGGTTGTGCAGATTCAGGAGTACTTCTCAGTGATACTTTCCTGCTTGATCTTTCATTGGAGAAACCTGTGTGGAGAGAGATACCTGTAGCATGGACCCCACCTTCTCGTTTGGGTCACACACTGTCTGTTTATGGTGGTCGGAAAATATTGATGTTCGGGGGTCTTGCCAAGAGTGGTCCACTCCGGTTTCGTTCTAGTGATGTATTCACAATGGATTTAAGTGAGGAGGAGCCATGTGGGAGATGTGTAACAGGGAGCGGAATGTCTGGTGCTGGAAATCCAGGTGGCATAGCTCCACCTCCAAGACTTGATCATGTTGCTGTGAGCCTTCCTGGTGGAAGACTTCTCATCTTCGGTGGGTCTGTTGCTGGTCTCCATTCTGCTTCCCAACTTTATCTCCTGGACCCAACAGATGAAAAACCTACGTGGAGGATACTGAACGTGCCAGGGACACCCCCAAGGTTTGCTTGGGGTCATAGCACTTGCGTTGTTGGTGGAACAAGGGCTATCGTACTCGGTGGTCAAACAGGCGAGGAGTGGATGCTAACCGAGCTCCATGAGCTATCGCTGGCAAGTTTAGTTATCTGATCACTGTCGTGGCTAAAATGGAATGTGCATGGAAAAGAAAATAGAAAAATATGATATGCATTCAAAATGAGAATCCTCCACCCCACGATTGAGATACAATGCTTACAATTTGATTGGTGAAAATCCATGTCGGGGGGGGGGGGGGAATAAGAGAAAGGAGAGTAAGAAAAGACTTGAGGAACAAGGTGGTGATGCCAGAAGACTTTTTTATTAGGCAACTGCCCCGTGATGCGATTTCGTGAACCAGGTCGGGAATTGTACTTTCTTTTTCTTTTTAAGGTTTGTGCAACAATTCTCACCATGGATTATTCTTGCTTCTTAGGGATAGTGTTAGTAGTGACAGACACAGACGTAGGTAATTTATTATGTATGTAGGGTATTTGCTGTTGTACCCCATCCGTTTAATTGATGTATTTTGTAATTTAAAAAAATTTGCGAAAGAGGGATCTTGTGGTTTCCTTAACCTTTCTCTATTATTTCGGATGGGTAATGTATCATTTCAAGGTTCAAGCTCAACTTGTGAAGAAAAAGAAATCTTACTGAGATGTCAGTTAACATAAGAAAGAAATTGTGTCGCTTTTTTAAAATGCATATTCACTTGATACATAGGTAAGCATATATAAATGAAGACGTGAACCCATAATAAACATACAAAAATTGTTATTGACTGTCGTTGCAGCATGCAGCTCGTACTTATCTCAAACTCAGGTTTCGATATTTGGCGTATATACTTCCATCAATATAGCTTTCTCCATTAGTGATGTTCGAGGAGGGGGGGATAATGTCCCGGTTCTCTTGACGCAAAATTGACACACTGCTTGCATTTATCACCAGGAAAGGGTGGTACACAATACAGTCACTCAACAGTAACTGTTCTCTTCTCCAATAAAGACTCGAGGAAAGATGAGCACAGTTTGGTGAGGGGTGGAAGACTATGAGATGATCCACTGAATATGGTTTCCCAAGGTCTCTCAGATGGAAATGATGGAACACAGGGAGTCTCGGGTCTCTTCTTGTCGAACTCCGGCAACTCTCCATAGATGGATACATACCCATACTGCCCGCCTAGTCCTGTCAAAAAAAGAGAAGAAAACGGTAAAATCAATCCACAGAGAACATTGTTTCAGTGAACTTATCATCATAAACCGACTTTTCTTGTGTTTGTGGGAATGCATTTTGGGAATAAGAAGAGTCTTCCTACATGGGAACCCTAGCTACATGTGATATCCTAAGTTTTTATAAACATGGACAGCATCTTTCATAAAAGAAAGAATCACACGTATGTAGCTAGGGTACCCATTAATAGTGATAATAGTGCACTAGCTAATGTCATGAACTTGGATAACAATGAGGATATGATTATTGAAAAGAAGCCTGACCTTTGACTTCAAGGGCAGAATGGCTCACCTTCTGGCTCATGTTAACCTCCTTAGCATCTTTGCAGAATGGATCAAAAACAACATATTCGTGATCACCATTCATATATGCAAGCAACACCTCAGGAGTTTTACCATCTATGCTGATCTCTTCAACAAAAGATGGATTTACTTGAAGAAAACCAAGAGCCCCACCCTTGGCCTGCAATAACCAAATAAAGAATCATGCTACAAAATAGTTCTGCACTATGCAATAAAATGATTTCCATGTATGCTGAAATTGGAGAAGAAAACACACACATTCATGTTCTCATCATCAAAACATGTCCGGTGCACAACTACTTGAAAGTCAATAGACAAAACAGAATAAATATTCAACGTTAAGAGTAGTAAGTGTGTATAGATTAGTTCTTCATGTTAGCAATAAAGTTTATTTTTTCCAATTGGTACTTGTCGAATAAACTCCAGCCTCCTCTTGCTTCAATGTTTATTCTGATTACCACCAATATAAATAAATATGATGATATAAAGAATGCAAAACATTGCATTGGAAGAGGAATTTTTCCATTACCAAATGGAAGCAAGAACCAAATGCTTGTTACAAAGCCCAGAACCAACTGTAATTTTTATATTCAGAAAATAATGTTTTAGGAATATAATCTTCTCTATATTTAAACAAAACAACATTTAAAATAAATTATAACAGTTGATATATGATATTCCTAAGCTAGTAGATCTGCTTGGTTGTAAGTAGTTAGTCAAAACCAAAGTCACAATTCTTAAAATAGTTTATCTTTGTGTGTATATATTTAACTATCTTCATGACAAGCTCAGTTTTTTGCTTTTTAATGTTGACGATTAGAAATGGAATGAAATCATACCTTCCTTACAGACCAAACTGCAGTAGGAACAGGATCGGTTGCATTGTATAATAAGATTACACCATCCCTTCCTTTAAAAGTTGTTTCATTAGATGATTCAGGAAGAAGAACTAGAGCAGCAAAGGAAGACAAGTCAACTGCAGAAGCTACAGCTGCACAAAATAAAAGTAATAACGTAACATCTAACTTTGCCAGAAACAAAAATACTTAAGTAAAAACTCATTTTGACTTGGACACATTTCATATTTACAAAATTAAGCAAGCTACAACCTTATGAGTGCAGTAGCTCAGGGCAAAAGGCCAGCAGTTCCCAAGGAGAGAGAAAAAAGAACAGCAATTACACATGCATACTTGACTTGCCTTTTCATTAATGGTAAGTTAATGTTCTGACTACCTTAATTTTAAGGCTACTAGAAGAGTGTTAATCGAATCCACAAAAGTGGAAATCAGTTATTTGTACCCTAACGATGAATTTGACATGCATTATTCAGGCTTCTCTAAACTCAGAAAAATATAATTACCACAAAGCTCGGTGATCCTCAAAATGACCAAGAATTTGCAATGGCCACCCTTGAGCTTTCAAGAAACAAAGGCATACAACTTAAAGCAGGAAGATCTCAAAATCTCTTGCTTTGATAATTATATTTAAATAGAGGTTTACCTTTTGTGCATTCAGAAAAAAAGAGAAACTGCTGGGACCTCTCCAGGCCCCAGAAAATCAATGATCTTTGCATGTATACTGTTAGCTGAAAATAAAAGTAGTCTTACCTTCTATACGAAGCTTATATGACCATGAAAGAGATAACTTTGACATGCTCCAGACAGAAAGTTGTGGATTTGAACCACATGATGCAGCTACAAGATTATCTGACTTCCCAATGAATGATAGATTCACAATTGGCTGCAGAAAACGTGGAGACAATTGAGCATAAACTAATTATTTAACATACAAGATACAGTTTCATGTCCATACAGTATAACGTCAAATAGAGAAACTCTATTGTATGCAAAAACCAGGAAAAAAGAAGGATGGTTCATGTTCCAACAAAAGAATGAATAGCAGCATAGCTAAATGTAATATCGAGAATTTCCAAGAAAGAAGGAGCTTGAATTCCCAAAATTGTTCCTTCACTATGCCTTGATTATCCACACTTATCAATTATCCCCCTATTGAGTAAATACCCTTACTTATTAAGTACTCGTATCTGTTAAGACAAAGGTATTCTAAAATAATTCAAGTCCACTGTTGTTTCATGTCTGCTTTGACAGAGAACAGTTGAGAGGCAGAGATGGTTATTAATAGTTTAATACAAAGAGAAGAAATCAAAGGGAACAAGAAAAGGACTAGAGCATGATGGCTGGGGCAAAGCATTTATTTATGTGGGTATTCTCTTATAAATAGTTTTAAAAGAAAAAATAAGAGAAGATGGAAGTTTATAACAGTAGAATTACTGTGAGAGTTTCTCCAAGTACAGCCAAGAGCACATTCTTGTATGGGTTCCATAATGTAATAAGGGTTTCAGCTGCAACAGCAAGAACAGAACCATCAGCAGAAAATGCAGCAGCTGTCATTGGCTTTTTTCTGCAACAGGGAAGAGAATAGATTAGAATAACAGAGATTTATTTATTTGAATCCCCATGGTGTATAGAAGATACTATCAGATTGAGACGTGTTGCAAACTATCAAACTGTCTTTCCATGCAGAAGACCTATTTAGGACATGTCAAGTTTCAGGATTTGAAAATTAACTAGTGAATAGAGATTCATTAATATGAAACACCATGGAAAATGTAGAATATGCCTAACTGAGTTAAAATATAATCAAGTATCCTTGACTGCAAAAATCTGTATATGCCCAAGCATAACATTCCATCTATCATCTATGTCACCTTTTTCTAAAGAATGAAATTAAATTCATGTCTTGGGCGTATGTAATCCTGGCCTCTGGTGCAACAATGCAAGTAAATTTAGAAGTCATACTTATAAGAACCAACAGCATGGCAAGTCCAGCTAAAAGTCTGACGCATTTGATCACTTTGTAAACTGTCATTGTTGCACCTCCAAACCTGAAATAACGGAGAACACAAATGAGAAAATTAATCTAATGAAGAAGAGCAAGAAAGCACAACCATGCTGATCCAAAATTACCTTGAAGTCACCACCAAAGGATGAACTAACCACCATATTGCCAGAAGGATGGAATGTCACAGCAGAAATGCTCGCATCCCTAAAAAATGTCAATTATCATCCGAGTGTTCATTTATAGAATTGATAATAAAAGATAGTATATTCTAATCTACGAGAAATTCAATTGCAATTTTTTGTTCATTAATAAATAATAAAACAAGGGAGTCGGGACAAAGGATTTCGAGGAGAGATTTGATTTGTAGCAAAAATTCATAATTCTAAAAGCAAATTAGCTTGTTAGTCAAATTAGCAAATTTTCTTATTTCAAATTTCACATTCCACATGAAAAGGGGAAATTTAATAAGTTTCTAGCTTTTAGTTAGAAATCAAACAAACAAAAACTTTAATTAACTCAACTAGAAAAAAATATTTTTAATACATTTCTAGACCTTTTGTATCATTAATGATATCACTACATATCACAAAATCTACCAACACCTCATGCAAAGTGCACACTTTTCTTATTCTACCCATAACGGCATTTTTACGATACTAGAAATTTTCTGTTATTTCATCAAATTCTAATAATCAAAAATTCATTCTAAAAGTACTTTTCCAAAACTTTAAATTGATGGTTTCAAAGCTCCATCATCTCAAATTTCCAAAATGCATCATCCAGATTGACCCTAAGAGTTAAAATGCCATATTTTCCAGCATCTTGGCTGAGTATGGAAGTAGCACAAGAACTCTGACCTATTATCAGATATTTACTTTCAATTTTGCAGGGAGGGATTAAATAAACAGGTTCACCTGTGTGGTTCATAAACAATTGTTGACAAGCTAAACTCTTTGTTTTGAGACCCTGCTTGCCAAAACTTGAGGCAGACTAGACCACCTATGCCCTCTTCAGCAAGCTTCACTTCAGAAGTGCTCATCAGAGAACCATCAACAGAGAGAGCCACTGCAGTCACTATAACCTGCAAAATTATCTAGATTATATTACTTACAGTCAATAAAGCATAAAATTCATCAGAAGACACATTATAAAACATGATTCGATTTACCGTGACATCATCGCCTGGTTGATGGTTTCTCTCACAAACTTGAACCTGAGAGACAGAATATTTAGAAAACTCCAACTTACAACTTATTGCAAAAAAAAGGAACTGGTGTAAAAGAAATAATGTATACATCCATTAGGCTACCTGTCCAATAAGATTTAGGCAGAAGATATAAAAGTATCCTCACCTCAGAAATTCCACGATCATCGAATAGGCTGTAAAATTGGATGCAATAGTTCTCTGTGCGTAAGGCAACCAATCCAGCAGTCTGATCAAAAGCAATCCCATTACCCAAGCCTTCATACATCTCAGGATAACAACATGGAGCCTGAATATGAGGACAACTAACTTATATTAGCAGGAAATAGAAATACATACCAGGGCTGACTACCCTAAAGGCCCCAAACCAGCCACTGATAACCAACATCGGCGTATCATATCGATTAAGTTAGAAGGGTTTTCTTGGGTTCCTCTTTTAAGTTCACAACAAGGTATTAACAATTTTTCCCATTTATGCATCAATCATCGCCAAGCAATAAATTATTTACACAGGATCTACAAAAATCATACAGAAACTAATATCTGCAAATCATCCACTTCATTGTACAGTCACTTCAGTCAATCAACCCTTGATAATCAGAAAAACTCAGGAAGCTGTACATTTAAATAGAATGAAAAAGGTTCCTAAAATCCGTATTGTGATTATCAGAACAACCTTTATCCCCGAAATAGTCTTCAAAATTCCCATTGAAGGCATTTTCAGTAGATGAATTTGATTATCTGCACATGATATCTGAAGACCCAGAGTTAGTAGTTTGTAAATATTCTTTCAAAGAAACAAGAAGGCAATAAGGCAACTGTAGGAGGAAAAGAAAAAAGAAAAGAGCAACTAACAGAAGAAAGGGTAGGGTCAGGAGAATCAATAAAATACAGCAGAGGAGAACCAATTCGTGGTAGAAATTTCTTCTTCCCAGTGTCTATTTGCCAAACAACAAGCACTCCTTCCTTTCCACCTGAATATTAGCAAACGTCAGTGTTATAAAAGACAACTGACTGCAAGGAACCCTAAAGCCTGAAGAGATGTATGCAAAAGTTCATATGTTGTACATGAATATCAATTTTCAGTTACCTGAATACAAGTATGCACCATCTAAAGAGAAAGAGAGGACATTGACTTCAGCAGAGTGCCAATGCCATGTAGAGCATAAATCAGCATCATCAATATCCCTGACCCCAGGTTTGTCCTCTTGAACATTTATCAACTTTTGGTTATCTACTCCATTGTCTCCAGAAAAGGCCCTATTACCAAATCCCCTCCAAGTTAAAATTCTCCCTGTCACATCCCCTGAGGCTATAATTCTCTGAGTTGGATGGAATGTAATAACAGTAATCTTCTTGGTATGGTGTAATGTTATCTTCCTAACTGCTGCATGCTCAGACCCCTGATCAGGAACCTTCCATATATGGAGCTTGCACTTATTGCAGATGCCAAAGAATTTTCCTGATGGACTAACGGTTAAAACCTCTGGCTTTTTCGTCTGCAAAGCAAGAGAAAACATGATAAGATTTACATATCCTCAATTATTAAAATAAATAAATAAACTCAACTTCTTAAACTCCAAAATGCTACCACCAAAAATGATCCTGTGCGAAAATCATTATAATAGTTTTTCCAGGATGGAGGGTGATTTCTTATAAATATTCATGTGTCCCCGTAAGAAAGCAAACATTCTGAAACATCTCCCAGCTCCTCATCACTCAACCATGTTTGAACATTCCATCATGAAAAACTTTGAATGTTCAGACAACATGTCAACAGTTCAAATCGACTTAATAAAGCTATAGCTATATACATCCTAAAAGCATAATTTTATAAGTCAAGGTTGGCAGGTTTATTTCTAGTTTTTGAGTAAGGCAAAACATGCTTTACATTTAAACTTATCCAATACAAATAGGAAAAAACTTTCATATAGTTTTCGGATTATACCTCTCCCAAAATCAATCTACCAACTAAACATGACTTGCTCAAGTTACACTTCCGGATCTGTCTTCTCGAGGCTTTGGACTTATCTTGTGTTTCCTTTGTATCTATGGTAGATACATATGCAAAAAGGTTCCGATGCTTTCCCTTATCCTCAGCAGGAACGTCAAGGAAAGATGGAATGACCTAATATTCAAGAAAAAATAGTAAAGCACGCATTAACTGATCTTGTAAGGTAAAAGGAAAATCAAAATTTAATATAACAGTGATAAACAGAAACTAGTTTGCGCCCATTAGCAAAATAAAACAATAAGCAATAAGAACGGCTAATATGCACTTATCTCAAAAACACAGAAAAAGGGATTTTGTTTTGAGCAAGATGTTTTTCTTAACAATAGATAGCAATTCAAGTTGGCATTCATAATTTCATAAATATAAGAACCAAACATAGAACAATAAAGCATTGTTTCATTATAGCTCAAAAGCAACATATTTGATGAAAAACAAAGAAACAGGTACTCTCTTTTTATTCAGAAAACTTCACTATCTTAATTTCGCTACATGCTTACCATGGAGAAGATTGGCACTCGAATGTCGATAGTCTTCATTAGCTCGGGCACAGAAAAATCCCAATAACGAATAGTGCCATCAAGAGAGGCGGTCCAACAATAACACAAAACCTTGGCGGCTGGACTCGACGGCGGCACCACTAAGACCGAGGTGACGAGCGCCGTGTGACCCTCGAGTGAGGATATCTAAGCACAACCAACAAAAACAACAATATTGCAGCTTCAGAAGATGAAGGGAAGACCGAAGAAGAAGAAGAAGGTAAAAAAAAACCTGGAGTCCGGTGGCGGTGCTGAAGACGGAGACGGTATTGGAGGTGCAGACGAGGAGTTTATTGGCGTCGTTAGAGAAGACAGGAGGTGAAGACACCAAGCTTCGACCACCTCTAATCATCATGGTTGCTGTGAAGAACACTTTTCCTGTCTGTCTCAAGCTGTTTGTTGTTAGTTTTAGGTCTACTCCGCTGCTCCTCTAAGCCCTAACTAACCCCTTTTTACAACTTTTTATCCTTTTTCTTATGGGTAAACTATAAATTTAGTACCTACACTATTAATTTTAATCCATTTAGTATCAAAACTTTAATTTTTTTTAAAATCATATCTAATATTTAGTTTTTATTTCGTTTTAGTACCTATAGTTAAAAACTTAACGCATTTAATTCATAACCTATCAGTTTAATCCATTTTTAGCAACCTAAACTTTCAATTTTTTTGAAATATAATGTTAAATTTAGAACAAGGTGTTATAATGAAACAAAAAACTAAACTTTAAGTATAGTTTTGAAAAATTAAAAAATTTAAATACTAAAACGGATTAAAATTGATAGATTAAATCATAAAAAATAATAATTTACCCTTTTTATTTATTTCGCTTTTCCATTTTTATCCTTTCTTTTACGTTAGTGTATTCCAATCAGACTCGATGTTTCCATTGAAATAGGATCCTCACCAAGAAATAGACGAAACAGAAACCACCACTAGACTTACAACCCTGTGTAAATCAGCCAAGAATTACATAATCATAAGCATGACACAAGAAAATGTTAAATATATATATATGTTATGGGTCTAAAAAATTTATCCTAACACAAACCCTCACCAGGTTTGCACTTAAAAAACTACATCTTATAGGCTAACATCAATGCCAAAGCTTCATGCAGAGGCCAGCAGGCACCGTAGATGTTTGTTTACTTGAGATGCAGTCCGAAAATGTGTCGACAAGCTGCTCGGCAAGCGATGCTGGGTCTGCATTCAAGATATCAACAAAGACCTTCACAATCCTCACCTCCTGCGGGGTGGCTCTCAAACTATACCAGGTGAGGAATTTCTGCCTAAAGTTCTTCTCGATATGACCTTTGCATTCTAACCATCTGATCACCTTCACGCAATGCTCGAAATCCATTTCCGAGACACCATTTTCCACACATTCTTCGTCCCGCCTTTCCCCATTTCGCTTCTTGGAGGAGCTGCCATCACAGGGTTCTTCTCCTTTACCAGTCCTATTCTTCGGGTCCTTATTGCTGGATTTATATCTCCCACTCCTTCCTTGTCCATCTTTTACTATTTCCATCCTGCAGGGAGTAACAGGCAGGCCAGCTTCGGAGCAACCCACAAATGCCACACACTCGGTACCAGTCTGAGCGGGGGCATCAGAGCCGTTATCAGTGCTTGTCTCCTCTGATGTCTGTTTTTTCTCGACATTTAAGACATCAGAATCAGGTATGGGACCAACAATCTCCATGGAACAGTCCACACCCAACAGAGAAACTTCATCTGCAGGGATGGAATCTTCACCAAGGACAGTGCAGTTGGCGGCACCTTCAGATGGATTTGTGGGAATAATTGTATCCATGTCCTTGCAATATTTTGCATAATTGTCAGCCCGGTCATCATTCTGATCACTGTATGGGGTATTGTTATTAGTTTCATCCTCCACAGAAGATGGATTAGAAAGGCTACTATAGTTGGTAGCTGGACTTTGACTTCTTCCCATCACAGGGCAACTTGGAACTTCATCCCCATTAAAGGCTGTCGAAATCGGCACTTCCCATGGACCGAACTCCCTTGTCCCATTAAAGGAGACGACTTTGAAATGATACTTGGTAGCTGGAGTCAGCCCTGTGACAACATACCTTCTGTTTGGCACAAACAATGTACATGTCGGTTTAACAGGGTAATCCCTATCATGATCCTTGCGATGCCATAAGGTGTGAGCAATAACACCATCTGGAAAATTTTCTTCAGAGCCCACAATTACTGTAAGGGAAGTCGGTCGAACATCTTCAAAGCATACAATTGTTGGAGGTTTTGAACTTGAACCTGCTGAAATTGAAGAATAATTTATTAAACAAAACCAACAAAACATGTTCCATCAAAAACTTACATGACTGTAAGGTAACTGTGCAGTAAAGGAATGAAATTAAAGAAAGTTAACTTCAGTTGCAAGTAAAAGCTTAGACAGGATTTACACTTCACCTGAGGCTCTATAAAGAGCTATTTATCAAGAGAAAAACAAGTCGAGGGTTACCGGGGAATGAAAGATCTCGTGAAGAATTTGAGGTAGTATCAAAAATCATTTTGTCCAGTAATTCGATCGCTGAAGAACATAGTCTCTGAACTTCCGGTCCTGAAGAAAGCCTGTTGACGATACCCCTACCCATCTTCACAGGCACACCTGTCAATGGACCTACTTCAGCTTCAAGCTTCTTGACAGCTTCATCAACAATCTCAGAAAGTTTTTGATACTTTTGAGTACCATTAAGAAGTTTTTGGCCTAGAGAGACGCGATAACAGAGTATGTCCACCCTCCTCGTATCTTTTGCAGCCATAAGTTGTTTTCTCCAGCACCTATATAAATATGGGAAGTTTATGGAACCAGTCTGATCGAACTATATATTGACATTTCAAGATTAAATGAATAACAAAAGTTTCATTTAACGTAATCAATACGTGTGGTTTAATTTATTTATATGTACAAGTCTACTTCCTTAGATAGTGTCGTAAAGGGAAAAAAACATTCCAAATTACAGTCAACAAATAACATTAGAAAAAAAAATGGAACATGATTTATGGAGAACATAAACTATCCATAAGGCAGAGGCAAAAACAAAGCGCATGAAATAAAAAATAAAATAAAAAAAGCATAAAACTGTCTTACATGATTAAACAAACTGCAGAATACAATCAAAGAAAGTCTGATTGTCTAATACCAGCAAAAGTTAGTAGCTAATCATTCGTCTCCTTGTTCTTACAACATGAGGTATGAAATGGAAACAATCACGCAATAATTTAGAATCTTTAAACATATTAATAGTAAATATCAAGTTCTAGCGTTTACAGTTGTTGAAAAATATCCATAATTTCTATCACCCAAAAGATCTGCAAAGCACCACAGCAAAATAGAAAACAAAAGCTCAAACTGACTGAATAGTATACCAGAGAAGAAAAAAACAAACAGAACAAAATGAATGTTTACGTGCATGTATATATATATAGCATCTAGGAGAATTTACCCAAGCAAATCATTTACTTTCCCGCATGCTACACAATAAAAGCTACCATCAAGTCCTGCATGCCGTTTATCTTTCAGAAAACCAGAATTCTCATGTTTTAAAGCACACTCAAGATGACATGACATGCCACAGGAATTGTTCTGGAAAGGAGGCTCTGAGCTGCAAATTAACCACAGGCTAGGATCCTTGTTGTCATCAAACTTATAACAGATGCAGCAGGAACACCTCTTGCAAAATGTATCTTCTTGTCTCAAGCTAGCCCTGCAAGCTGAGTTTTTACAATAAACAGCATTGGTCGTGTCATTTCCACCATTATTGATCGGAAGATCATTCACCGGAACAGGCAGTCGACACGGATGATCAGCCTTCCTTTGCCTTTTGGATGTTTTCTGGCCATTTGTTGGGGAAGATTGCAATTCAGGCTCCGTCACACCCTCCTGATCTCCCGAATTCTTTTCAGCTACAATTTTCAAAAGGTTTTCTATAATTTTCAGCTTTGTCAAGCCAGTGTATTTCCTTTCCTTCCCCATCTCAGCGCATAAGATCTGCAAAATCTCCTGACGGCTCCATGATTGTAGCATTTCAGGGGCCCTGCTTGTCCTCTTTGATAATTCATAGACTAGCTCTCTCTTTTCATCCATACTCAATTCACTACATTTTGATGGATCAAGAGTAACTCCTATAGCAAAGGGAGCCAAAAAAATCGCAAGTGAAAAAGTGTAAGCAGTAGAAGGTACCACGACAACCCAGAAATCCTAAATGGTTGAAATTAAGTAAACAAAGAGTTCATATAGCTATTAATTGTCCATCTAGGAAACAACATGTTAGATGATTACTGGTTGTGAATCCCGTTAAAGATCTAACTTTCAAAGACCTTCAATATACTAAAAACCGAAAGCAAGAGAAAAATATGCAATACCCTGATTACATATCATACAGAAAATCCAAAACAAAACAAAAATACAAATGTAAAAGAATTACCCTCGAAAGAGGAATCCATTGGAACGAAAGCTGAATAAAAGGGGAGCCGTCAACACAACACCTACATTACCATCAAAATCCAAACTTTCTGAAGCCTGTAACGAAAAAGATAAAAACTTCATGAAGAAAAAAAATGAGCAGGCAAAGAAAGGGAGGAATATGATGATGGGAATAACAAATACCAAAAAAGGAAGCTTGAAATTCAACCCCACCCCACAACTAAAGGATCCTTGACTTACCTTGGGGTTGAGAGTTGAAAGCCTTTCTTATTCCGATTCCTTCTCTCGTTTCCCCCTTAAAAAAAATAAAGAAATAATAGAGTTTTCAATAAATAAAAAAGCTACTAATAGAGTTCTGTGTTTGCTGTATTAAATGAGCCCTCTCCATTTTTAAATGCTACTAGTATTTTTCGCTTATATTGGTTTCAAAAAGGGCTGAGGGTGGGCCAGCGACGCTGATGAGGTTGAGAGCTGCGAGCTGACGGCTGAGATGAAGATAAGAGGGCAAAATCGGCATTTGAATGTCATCTTAATCGTGTCTACATTTTTTCATTAATATAAAATAATTTTTAATTATTTAATATTAAATATTTATACCTTTAACATTTATTATTCGAACTTAAAATTTTAAAAAATAATATTTTTTTACCATCTTGTTCGCTAACATCACTACTCGATCAATCCTCTTCATGGCTTAAGATGCTTATGGTGACATCACTCATCATTGTTATGCAAAATTTTCTGCCAATAAATTTTGGATCAATTACGAGTTTAATATCTAAAATTTTGATTCATTTTAATAACTAAATTTGTAATATTTTTTTTTTCATTTTAATATAAAAGTTCAAAATTTAACATTAATTTAAAAAAAATAGAAAGTTTATACATTAAAACATATTAAAATTGAAAATTTATATATTAAACGTGTTAAAAAAATTATGGTAAGATATTAAAATGAAGCAAAAATTTAAATATCACGATTTTAATTTTAAAAATATTAAAATTTTAAATACTAAAATAAATAAAAATTAATATTTTAATATTAAATTCATTGTTTACTCTAATTTTTTAGCAGCGTGATATGGCAACAGAGAATAGTCTACGTGGCCTGTCTTCCCTCACTTCTTTCATGAATTTCAATGCGACCTTTACCTAACATATTTTTTTCTTTAATGTTTAATGCATAGCTGCCACCTCATAACCTAACCCAACTAATCTTTTCATTTCTACTATTTTATTTATTCTTTTAATTACGAATATCTCGGTTATTTATTGTACATTTCAAATAAAAAGCTTCATATTAAATCGTATAGATTATAAGAATTATTAAATATTTAATACTGTTAATTATGAATATCTTCGTTATTAGACCATAAAATTTTAAAAATTAATTACCCATCCACTTATTATTTAAATGTCAAGACTTTCAACAGGTGAATCCACTAAAATAATACAGAAAGGAAAGACAAAATGTTATATTTTTTTATGAAAATTATATATATATATATGGAAGGTTTTTATATTAGAGACGAATTTAAAATTTAAGGGATAAAAATATAATTTTAATAAAATTACATAAAATATTTAAAATATATGAAAATTTTATATTTTTAAGGGACAAACGCACTTATTCACCACGCCTAACTCTATCATATATATATATATGATCACGGCATTTAAAACCATTGGTTTCTTTTTTTCAGAGCAATAATGAACCATCACTTTCTTTTATAATTGCTTATAGACCCTCTTCGAATGCGAACCACTTGTATTTGCGGATGCAATTCATTGTTTATATTATTCAAATTTGGTCCTTAGTATTTTTTATCAATCCGATATAAGTATTGTAGACACTCATTTTTGTTTGGGTTTATAAATTATTATTATTATTTATCTAATTTTTTTACATTTTGTAGGCCCCATAACCGAGGCCCAATTTACAATACTCAAGTTGGACCCGACCCAAGTCAGTAAACCCAAAGCCCAACTAAGCTGGCTCAAATGAAAAACATGACCTGACCCAACTAGGGTTTTTAAACCCTAGCCCTAATCTGACCTAACCCTAAGGAGCTACTGTCGTCGTATCACAGCCATTGTTCCTGCCACGTACTCCCATCATCCGCCAGTCGTCGTTTCCACCACTCAGCATCACCATCTCGTACAAATAGTGAGGAAAATCAGTCAAAATCCAACCAAATCCAAACCTCTTCAATAAAAAGATAAAACAATCCCGTAAAATTGGGAATGATGAAATGAAATCATTCCCCTATCAACTGGCCATCATAGCTTCACCAAAACCAAACAAAAAATGCATATAAACCAACATGCAAGCAGAGAGGGGAATCAAACAAAAAAATCAGAAAAAAGGAGATCGAAAAGGAAAAAAGAAGGAAAATGGGGCTTACATTCGGTCAAAGTTACTCGTCGGCATTTGGAGGGTTCGATTGTGGATTGGGACGGTGAGAAAGAGCGCACGAGAGAGAGGAGTAACATACTCCGAAATCAAAGCGATCAGATAGCCAGATATGGAGATCGAAGATATTGAAAGTCAAACGGTTTTTGACATATTTGTGGAGCTCGGGACATTTTGGGGAAAACCAAGCCCATATTCATGCTCAAGGCCTTGAGATGAATCACAAGTGTAATCGGGGCTTGAAAGGCCGCCAAAATATGACTGTAGTCGATGGCGGAGCACCTCGCCAGAGGCTCATCGGATCTAAGAGAAAGAGGAAAAGAAAAAGAGTGAAATAAAAAAAGTAAAAGGGCCTTATATAGGCCATGTAAAACGGTGTCGTTTTAAAGGGACGATCCCCGTATTTTTGCATGTGGGCAAATAGTTGTTTTGATCCTCGCAGGTTTTGTAAATTTTCATTTTAACCATTAAATGAAATGGTTAATTCATGTGCATGGTCCTTAAATTATGCTATGTTTATATTTTGTCTCTTGTTTCCAATATTGCTGAAAATCAGTCTATTTATGTTTTCAGTTCCTCGAACCTTCGTTTATATGCAACCAAATCACTATTTTATGCTTGAAAAATCGAATTATCGTCTAATTAGCTCTTGTATTTTTGTATTCATGCATCTTGATCCCTGTATTATTTGTTTATCGTATATTAGCCCTTAACTTAGAACGTGCATATTTTTGTTGTAAATATTACCATGTATGTGTTGTCATATTAAATATTTATATGTGTATGTATACGTGCATGTATATTTATATGTTTTACATAGTATATTTATGTACATTTTTTTAATTTTTGTTAAATGCTTATTTATTTAATAATTTGTTAAATGTCACTCACTCGAATATTTTCAAGAATGTTCGCTATAGAATGGACGTGAAAAGTACGTCCCTATAAGAGAAATACGATTCGAGGCCATTCGAACGAAAAGTGAACTTTAAATAAATCTGATTTGTTTTCCGTACAATTTTATGATTCGAAATAATTAATCATTGTTTGATAAAAAGGATCGTATTTTAATTTTAGACTTGAATTTGCATATTCTACTATTATGACAACATATAAGCAACTAGGCATCAATTTGTGCGTTGTGTGGTGCTCACCCTTCCCCACGCATAACCGGCTTCCGAATTTTTAAAAATAATTTTTTGGTAACTTGGACCGATTTTTGTATTTAAAATAATTTTTCGTAAAATTGTTTTAAACAACATTTTTATGTATTCGACCTACCTAATCTAAAGGTCGACGACGACTTCAAATTCGATCAAATCCCAAATTAATCAAAAATCCTAAATTTTCAAATTAAGTCATAATTATTTTAATTTGAATTTTTCGTTTAAAAACATTATGATAAGTACAAAGATAAGATATGTTCAACTATATCTCTTAATCATTTTTACATTTAACATTTACACCCCTGATATTTCTAGTGCTCGAACTCAATACCTTAAAGAATAACAATAATTTATTTATCACCTATATGGATTTATTTATTCATTTGGTCCTTAGTATGAATTTACTTAATTGAGATCATCATATGTGTAAATAATCAAATTCGATAACGTGGTGATTACTATTCGCTGCTTTCCATCAAAATTAAAGTGCACGAACCAAATCATAGAGTGTGAAGCACGTCACTAGTTGATAACCCAACATGCATGGTTTGCTTTCTGTCCTTTCTGATTCAATATTATATCATGCCTCGATTAACGGTTTAATTTAATTGAATATTTTATTTTTTAAAAAAATAAATATAAGGTAAAATACACATCTAATATCTAAATTATTAATTTTGATATGTTTTAGTATCTAATCTTTTAATTTTCAAAATCATATGTAACGTTCAGTTTTCACTTCATTTTAATATCCAATTAAAAACTTAATGCGATTAATATCCAAATTATAAGTTTTGATCCATTTTAGTAAATAATCTTTTAATCATTTCAAAACTTAACGATAAATTTAAATTGGGTATTAAAATGAAATAAAAACTAAACTTCATGTATAATTTTAAAAAAATGAAAGTTTAAATACAAAAATAAACAAAAACTAATACTTTAGAAACTAAAACTATAATTTACCCTAAAATATATTTACGCTTAAGGGTTGTTAGGGATGGCAATATGACCCGAACTCAACGGGGAAACCCGAAACCCCGATCAAGTTTGGAACGAGTCGGGTTGAATGATATCGGGTCGGGTTCGGGGATATTTTTCGGGAATTTGTTCGGGTCGAGTTCGGGGCAAGGTATCCCCGCCCCGATTATATATATATAATATTTTATATTTTTTATATTAATTATATATATAATATTTATATTTTTTATATTAATTATATATTAAAATATTTTCGGATTCGGATATAATATTTCGGGTCAGGTTCAGGGACAGGTCAAAAAAAATCCCCGACGGGGCGCCCCAATAAAAAAACCGTCGGGGATCAGGTCAGGGTCAGGGACTGGGCGAGCAAAACCATCCCTGAACCCGACCCGTTGCCTTTCCTAGGTGTTGTTAACACCCACCGTCGCTTTGCCTTGCATTGCTCAGTTTTAACTAGGCATGCATGAACTGAGTAAAATATTAATCCTCGTTGATAGGTTGTTTAATTAATCAAAAAGGACGGCTCGTAACATATATTTTATAAACGAGGAGATATTCACTAAAGGATAATCTGAGCTACCCATTTTTATTGATCTACCGATCATGAATCTGTACAAAACTAAAAATATTTTACATTATATAAGTGAATTCTAACCTTATAATAATGATTATATTAATCATGCTGGTGAAAGTGATGAATGCCAACAAACTGAATGATGACGTGTGATTCTGCTCTGCAGCACATGGCTTGGTTGGACTGGGATTATTGTGAATTTACCCAAATTTAAGATATTACGGATTGGTATATATTAGTATACTAAATTCATAATATGATGCACTCATTCACGTGGGTTGTGCAGAATGTAATGGCACAGGCTGCCTGCTTCGACTAAAGTCAAAGCCCAACACTGAAAGGGAAGGACGTTTTATATATTTGGTTAAAGATAGATATTGTAGAAAGGTAATCTTAAGTGAAACATAACATGTATCCTTCGAATTACTTAACTCTTAAAGTTTTAAAGTCCAATACGTGTTTCCCCATCAAGAAATAGATGTTTTCTTGTTCATTAAACTCTTAAATTTAAAACCGAAAACTCGAAATTCAAGAATCGAGTTTTATTCACCCTAACCAGAGCAATGACCAGGGAACATGTGACAATGGTTTGCCACAATGACTGCACGATAAATGCAGCCTCTTTGGAACAGCAAAAGCAGATAGTACAATCAAAACGCATAACATTAAGGCCAAGAAATAAGTATAGCTCCAAAGACTGACATTACTGATAGATAGTATAACCAAAAGCAGAGCATTTAGACTAAGGGCTAACATACGTATTGCTCTAAAGACTGATATTACTGAGAGAGTATAACCAAAAGCAGAGCATTGAGACTAACATAAGTATTGATCTAAAGACTGACATTACTTATAGATAGTATATATAACCAAAAGCAGAGCATTGAGACTAACATAAGTCTTGCTCTAAAGACTCACGTCAAAATATCTCAGGCATCAGTGAATTTGTAGTAATCTTCAGTGGTTGTGTAAACGAGGCCCTCAGATGCAAGGAACTCTAAAGTTTGCCTGTCAAACAACAAAATACAGTTTGCATATTGTTTATGATTACGAACAAATTAGTGTTTGCATGGTTGAAAGATCGGTGGAAGAGACATACCTGACCTTATCCTCGGAATCATTTAGTTCTCGAGCGATGACAACAGAGGATACCCCCATCTCAGATGCACTGAAACATAATTGAAACTCAACATTCTACTCTAACACGCAAGAAGAAATATTTCTGCCACCATTTCAAAGTTACATACTCCTTGGAACTACTTTACAACAACAACAACAAAAAAGAGACGTTGAAATTTCCAAGCTTTAAAATCTCACCATGATTGGTAAGAATACCTGCTGTTCATAACATTATAATTAAAACTGAAGCAAACCAAGCCCGTGGGTTTCAATTATCAAAACATATAACATTAGAATGGAAAATTATATATTTATTTCATAAATAAATAGCGTTCAATCTAATCACGATTAATAATCAGTAATTGGATATTCTTTTCAACAAGAAACTGTAATATATTATTAGTCTTCACTGCCAATTTTATTTTCTTGTCAATTGTTAGAATTACCAGAACCAGAGATGAAAATTTCTGATGTTACAGAAAGATGAAATCAAAGAACTAAAGGGTTGCAATGTTTAGAAAAAGTAAAACAAAGAAATGTACCGCAGAGAAATGCAAAGAATTGAGCTGATATTTTATTATTCAAGAACAAAGATCTGTATTTTGAATATAAAAACAATCTATTTTTATAGAATCGTGTTGAAGGCTGGCGAGAGGTACGTAGCTCAACCGTTTAAGCTATCATCAATTTTTATAGATGCTTACCATAAGTAGTTCGGATACATGTAAAATGTTTGTTCTATCAAGATGTTTGTATGTTATACTTACACATTAGATAATTTATTTAGCTATCACATTTTGACAAAAACATGCAACGGGCATTCAGATCTGCAAACTCTAGGACAATGTAAGTTCAGTTTAACGTGATCAATAACTCAGGTTGAACAAAAAAAAGAAAAAAAATTTAATTTCAACCAAATCAATCAGGTTCATCAAATATCATTCACAACTCACATGCTTGCTGGCCTACGCAAGAATTGTAAGACCGTTGAACTAAGAGCATGGATCTGTTCTTCATCATTGTTATACTGGCCAGGTGAAGAGGAGAGAAAAAATGAGATCAGGATCAAGTAAATCAAAGAACTTAGATAGGTACTCTGCATCAGTTCATTCACCTGGTTAGTTTCATAACTGTAGCCCTTTCCTGGGTTGCCAAAATTTGAATTTGCCACTTGAGGCTGAGCAGTCATGCCACCAACAGAATTTGTCATCCGAGGCTGCGTGTTGATGCAACCCTATATAAAAAGTTGAGATAAAACAAGTTGTTCCTCACAATAAATACACATTTACATTCAAATAAGCTGGAATGTAATTTTGTATACTAGAGTATCAACTCTCAGTCTCTTACCCTCATCTTGGTGTTGTACAAATGAACATAGATACACTCGATGAAGTGGTTTGTAATCTCATTATAATCAGTAACAAGCCTGAAAACAAGGTTTAAAGCTATTGTAATCTCATTAGAATAAATAAAGGGCCTGAAAGCAACAATGGAATGCAAATCTAGAACTCTAACTACAACATCCAAAAATTTGACATGAAGATGAAATTTTAAAAGCAGAATCAAATAACAACTCGGATAAGAAGTTCCATTCCTTTCAGCTATGAAACAATAAAATAAATTCCAGTACGTCATTCCAAAGTGACCCTGATTTATTTGGTATAACTGGCACTAGTAGAAACTAACTGAAAGTTTTAATTCACAAATAAAAAAATAAACCAACTGAAGTTGCTCTCTCGCACAACAAAAATTAAATAAATAAGAGGGTGAAAAGATGAAATATCATGTAAGAATATAATTCAATATATAAGTAAAATTTTGAATTCGTACCGAATTGAAAAGGTGTGCACAGTCCTTCTACCGTGAATGCTTTTTAACTGACCATAGACACGAACATACATTCCAACCCTGAGATGAACAAGACACTTGAATGCCATGATATACAAAAAACCTGTCATTCCAAGTTATAGTACTCATGAGGAAACTTAGAAATGCAATGCAAGATAACTTACGAGATCGCATCAACTTCAACTGAGTCTATATGCTCATGAACCCTAGTTAAATCTCAAAAACAAAAACAATAAATAGTAGCATAGAGTAAAGTTATTAAACAAAAGCATTCTAATACTGAAAAATAAACAGAACAAGAAAAAGAAAGAGAGAAGATTAACCATTTGGTGCATTCAACCCATCCTGTGCCATCATCAACTCTAAAAGTACATTCTGAAACAGCATTGTCTATTTTGGATACCCTTCCCACTAACACGATCTAAAAACAAAAAAAAAAGCAAAAAAAAAATCAAACATCAATTGTATTTTGAAAATAGTAATTGTTCATGCAAGAGATAAAACAATTGATCGAAGCCTACGTTGTTGACATCAACACCTTCAATGGAAATATCAGATTCTCCACCTCTGGAGAGATCCATCAACTGCTTCACCGTAAGTGGAAGCAAGCAGCGCGCGTCACTGTTCTGGACATTTCAAAAAGAATACGCTAATAATAATAAAACCTTGAAGTTCAATAGAACTACAGTGAACAAATAACCAAATCTCACGTTTCTACCTCAAGCAATTTAACTCAAAAGTAAATATTTACTAAACGTCAAAACAGAAAAATAACCAAAAGAAATATGAGCAAAACGGCGAAAGGTGATTCCCTGAACACGCACAGGAACTATTGTATGAAAAATAATAAACTAAACTGAAAAGACAAAAAATCTCGAGAAAGATAAGGAAATACAAAAGAAAATGAGAAAAGTATAGGATAAAGACGATTATACTTTGGAGGAAGAGGATGGGCGGTCAGGGGCGGTCTGCGTGGCTTGTGATGGCATGAAACCGCCCCCAGAAAAGGCCGCGTTCCCATCAAACTCGTTCGACTGCATCGTAGCTTCTTCTATTATCAGATTTTGGGGATTTTTCTTCTTATCTTTAACGCACTTTTGGGGTTCCCGGGCTGTGTGACTTACTTTCCCTCTCAACTTTAGGTTTTATATATTTGAAAGTAAGTTTTGAAAAAAAGTTGATTTCATAGGGAAACGGAATCGGCTCGTTTTCGTAATAAATAACAAATAAATAAATAAATTTCAGTCGATAGATTAATAATCGTTTTAAATTTATTTCTAGTTTTTTATTTATTAATCTTGATTTTAACGTTTTAATTTAATATTTAAATTTATTTTAATTTATATCGATCTTTAAATTTAATAGTTTTGTTTTTGTTTAGTTGTCTGATATTTTAATATTATGTTATATTTTAGGATATAGTACATAAATGGTCATATGACTGTAGGGTATTGTTTTAGTAAGTCATTTTAATATTAAAAGTTATAAAATAATTCTTTAACTTATTTTATTAAGTTCTTTTATTATTAAAAGTTATAAATGGTCATGCGACTAGTCATTATGTTCCAAATTCGTCATTTTCATTAAAATTTACGATTATTTAAGTTGGACATTAACATGGTGACAGATAGAGCTGGGTATATGGGCTAAGGCCCGCGGGCTACCCGTTTAACCCGCGACCCGTGCGGGCTTCGGGCCTTAAAAATTGAAGACCGTTTAAATTGCGGGCTTTTTAGCCCGGACCGTTAAACCTGCGGGTTTAATGGGTATAACCGCGGGCTACCCGCTAAAGCCCGCTTAATTTAAAATTTATAAAATTTTAGAGAAAATAAACTTAAAGAATTTTATAGAAACATAAAATAAATTACTTATAAATATGATTGTCATAAATTTAAGCTACTATTGCTTGATATTGATCAATAAACTATTGTAGTTCTTAAATTTATTAGGGTGTTTGTCATAATTTTATCGTTGCTTGATATTTTTTTCATTTAAATATACATCATTATTATTTTGGTATTTAAAGTTTTTTTTATTTAATTTTGACCTTTATTTTTTTTCATGAAGTATGTTATCCATTTTGTTCTTTAATTATAAAAAGTCACGTGATATTTTAATAATATATCACATGACACGTAATATTTGGATTAAAAATAAGAAAGAAAAGTAAAATAAAAAATTAAAAATATACTTTTCAACTTTTAAAGACTTTTACAAAATAAATATATTTTAACAAATTAATGACTTATATTTTATCAATTTTAGTATAATTGTATCTTTCAAATTTACTCTTATACTGTAAGTATTTTATTTTATATTTTCATATTATATTTTAGTATTTCTCTAAAGTATCCATAAAATACAATTATTAGAAACACTTGACAACTTTCTTGTTAGATTTGTATAATGTTTGATTTTGTTAAATTTTTATGTTTGAATTTCTACTTTCAGACACTTCTGTGTATTCATATTATAGCCTTGAATAATCGTGTTTTATAAAAGTATAATGTGGTTATTGTTTTATTTGTTTTTCAATTTGGTGATATAAGTGAATATTGTTTTTTTAATTTGATTTTAAGTAATTATATCATTATATATATATATATATTAATGATTAAAAAATTAAAAAATATATTATTTTATAATCATTTCCGGCTATTTAAAATAAAATTTAAATATTATTTATTATTTTGACAGTGCTACCTTCATTTTCAAGTTGTTCGATCATTTTTAAAGGTGTAATAAGTTAAAATATTATTTTTTATTTTATTTAAAGCATTTAAAATTATTTTTATTAAACGGGCCGCGGGTAAGCCCGTTTAGCCCGCGGGTTAAATGGACGGGCCGCGGGCCTTAAAATTCAAAACTGTTTATGAATGCGGACTTTTTAACCCGCACCGTTTAAGCCCGCACCGTCAAAACCCGCGGGCTAAACGGGCGGGTAGCCCGTATACCCACCTCTAGTGACAGAGGTCATTTGAGATTATAAAATCATATTTTATCATATTACAGTCAACATGTTAACGTTCAACTCAAAATACCGTCCATTTATAACGAAAAAGTACAAGTATATATATATGAATAGTTAAATTACCATTTTATAATTATTAATAATTGAATTACTTATTAAGTCAGTACCCTATAATAGGATGATCATTTGTTTATTTTATCCTATATTTAATAATATTTACTTGTATTTTTATTGTATAATTGTTAGTTTCTTTTTTTTTCTTTTTTTATGGCCAACAATGACATTAATTTTAGTATGATCATTACTTGTTATTTTTTATTTTATTACTTTTATGATATTTTTGTATCTGCATTTATGGCATTTTCTCTTTATTTTTAGCATGTTTTCGATGATTGACTATTAGTTTCGTTATCATTTTTTTCAAAGTTAAATTTAATATTGTCACGATTGATCAAGATGACACTTATCTGTTATCATGTTGATCTTTCTTAATTTGGGGACTCATATTGGATTTGAATATATTATTTGTGTTCGTGAATAGTTTTCTCACGTCGTTCAATTCTATTTTGTGGTTTCTCTGTGATATTCAATAGTTTGATCTCATTTTGTAGTTTGTTTGTCTATGAGATTGTATTTATTTGGAACTATATTTATTCAAGTTTATTTAGTTAGATTTTTCAACATTTTTCTTGTGTGGTTGTTATAATATCTTTACGTGGTTTGGTTATCGTCTTAATGATTATAGGAAAATATTTTATTACGCGTTCAGTTTACGATTTTAATTATAAAACTCTTTTATAATTTATTTTTTTACTTTATAGTAAAACTAACTGTTTTCCTTGTTATAAAGGAATTCATAGATTTTGCAGTTATATAACATTGTCAATACTTTTGAATTATAATTTTAAGTTCTTATTGGACCTCAAAAGCTTGTTAAGTATTAGATAGGAATCATGGGATTGGGTACGATTTTCACTATTGTTTTTCACGTAAAGATAGGGTTGTAAATAAAATAATACATTTAATGAGTTATTCAAATTCGACTTAGATCAAAATTTAGATGACATTTAAATCGAATACTATGATTTGAGATCTTAATGATTCAAAGTTATTTGATTCTCGACTCAAAAAATAATATAAATTTATAATTTTAGATTAAACTATCAATCATTTTAGCATTTATATGTTGTGTTTTTAAAATACAATATAATTTTATATTAATCTAAAGTTCAAGTTTGAACCGAAATCGAGTTTGAGATTTAACCGAACTAAGCTTTAAGAATATTTTGAGCTCAAGTTTTTCGAGAACGAGTTTAACTTCAATTTTTTTTAAGCTTGAATCGAGCATGACAATTTTTAAACCCTTGAGCTTTCGAGTGGGGTATTAAGTAACTCGTGAACATTTTATAAAACAATTAAAAAAAGCAACAAGCTCGAGAGATTTCGAGCCGAGCTTCTTTTGAATTCAAGTAGATCTTTATAGTTTAAGCTTTTAATTTTACGAGTTGAGTAGAACTCAATCTGAAAATTTTCAAATTAAATCAAATTCAACAATACTCAACTTGTTTATAACCCACAAAATATTCAAACAAATAATTGATCTTATTAATGACCACGTCAATATTTTCAATATATTTAATTGATATTTTTTCTTGGGCAATCTAATATAATTATAAAATATTATTTGTTCAATATTGATGATAATTATTTTAAGGGTGAATTATGCGCTCTTTAAATTAGTAGTTTTGGTCCATTGTAGTACTTAAACTTTCTTATTTCGTTTTAGTATTAAATCATTAAAAGTTTTAGTTTTCGTTTCATTTTAATATTTTATTAAAAAATGTAACATTAACTTTTTTAAAAGATTAAAAGTTTAGGTAACAAAACAGTCAAAAACCGATAGCTTAGGTGCTAAACGCGTTAAGTTTTTAATTACGGAGTACTAAAATAAAATAAAAACTAAACATTTAGTATGATTTAGAAATAATTGAAAGTTTAAGTACTAAAACAGACTAAAACTGATAGTTGAGATACCACATGCTTATTTTACAATTATTTGAAATGCACTGTGACGATTAGAGAATATTTGTAGACGACTAGAATGATAGAGGTAGGCATGGCCCGTGGTGGTGCAGTAGAGGTGGTAGCCTCGTACACTTTACATTGCCCCATTATTACACGCTTTCTTCTAATTTTTTGCTGCCCTTCTGTTGCTGTGACAATTTTCCTGGTCTACGCCACAGCTCTATTACGGTCCCTTCTGAAATGGATTCCCCCCCCCTCCCCATACACACACAAAAAAGTGGGGGGGGGAACAGTAATGAAGATTGAGGGGAACAGGGTTTGCTCATTGTTTACTTGCAAAGAGAGATTTAAGCAGAGGTTAAGCGTGATGGCGCCGGTGAGCCAGATTCAGTCGAAGATTGGGAAAAACAAACCCCAAAAAGATTCTCTTCCAATCCTCTCTCTCTCTCTCTCTCGATCTCGAGACAAGAAAAACAAAGAGTTATATTTTTTGCTCAATTGTATCACGGATAAACATCTAATCAAAGAGTTTATATTTTCTGTTCAATCTTCACAAAAATTATTTTGTTTCGTCATTAATTATTATTTTTAATAACAGTTAATAATATTTATTCATTTTTAATAAAATTAAAAATTAATATTTATTTTATATTTTATATTTTTTAAATTAATATTAGAAAGAATATATTTTAAATAAAGATGTGATATTTTAAGCTTTACGTTATATTTTATTGAATTTTATTCATTTTTAATTCATTTTTTAAAATGAATAATAATTCATTTGATCTCTTAATTGTAATTAAAAGTTATTTTAATATTTTAAACAATTAATTTTAAAAGTCAATAAACATCATCAACTGTTGTTAAAAATAATATCAAAAATAAATAAATAGATAAAGTTGTCGTTTTTATACAAATATCAATATAACATAAATTAATTACATATTAGGCACCACTTTAAAAATATTTACAAAATTAACATTCGAGTTTTTTACACATTTAACAAGGCACGTTGCAGGGGGCGCGCCTTACACATAAGTAGTGCATCGATGCATCCCATTAATAGTGAAACATCGAATGCAATCGGTGCATCGATGCATAAGGAGTGCATCGATGCATCCC